CTAAATTGGAACCCATTTCCTCGCCCTGCTATTTTGACAACGGAAGGCGTGGTGTGTCTCCTAACCTCGCAGCCTTTTGTTTAATGATTTTATTGAAAGAAGGAGACAGTTGTGGGGAAACAGGTTTGACAAGGAGCTGCACTCTCTCCCTTTAGGGAATATCTTCTCTCCCGCGCGCGCACCTCCGCCCTCCTTCTTTTGCTCTTCTTTTTGACATCAAAGCCAGTAATCGGTTCATTTCGGTGTCATGGCGATTATTTGATATATTTATTTCTTCACGCATAAAAACATAGCTACATACCTGCAAACGAAGAAACCGGTTGGATGGGGGAGTAACTTGGTGGAGGGGGTTGAAAAATGTTGAAAGGGGGAAGTGGAGGTGAAGGGACCTTGAAGTTTCAAGACAAGTCCCACCCCGGCCTGATTTCAGCGGAGTTTCTGCTTCAGCCCATTCAAATGAATAGATATAGTTCTGCACCCTCTCGCAGCAATTCTGGGGCTCCTTTCAAGAAATATGCAAACTTTCCAATCACACTTTGGCATTCATAGAGCTGGACGGATTCCCTCAAGTATAAACTCAGCAAAAGTATGAAAGACTGTGCATGGGCAGAGTGTACGCACCATGGACTTCTTGGCACATGGCGAATCTCAAAAATATGCATCAAAACAATGTATATTATGGATGCATAAGAGGCTTTGGCAAAAGTGAGTTCCGCTGAAATCAAAATGACACATCCAAATAAACATATATGAAAAGAGTCGTGGGAATTAAACATATTTGCATGAACAGTCTTGCTCAGGAGAGTTTTGTGAATCAGCTACTACTTGTGTTCTCCAACACGAGGACTCCTGTACCACCACAAAAGCTGAAACAGCTCGCTCCAGAGAGAGGCACAACACCTCGCATTACCTGTTTGGCATTCCCCTCTTCGGAGCCAACGAGACAACGGCTATATAAACAAACAGCCCCCTCGACGGCCGCATGCGATAGAGCACGAGCCAGCCTGCGTATTCGAGGGGTGTCGCATCAATGGAAATGCACACAAAGACATCACAGGTCCATCATCACCAGTCCATTTGGGAGTCCAAGCGAGTTATCACTGGGATCCGAATGTCCTATCACCCGGGTCCAGCTGGCCACCGAGCTGGGGCGGGGGGTGGGCGGGAGGAAGGACTGTTGAGGCCGGCACCCAGGAAGGGAGGCCGAGGAGAGGAAAGGTGCTCGCGGGAGACCGCGTGGGGGAGGCCTTTCCAAGAGGCGCTTCTGCCCCCCCCCCCGCCGCTTCCCTTCCCCAAATCTCCGGGGGGAGCAGACAGCTGGTGGCAGTCAGCCGCCGTACCTGAGGCCAGCGTTAAGCCTAATCTAGGTAGATGTTAAAGGACACTGAGCTATGAGTGTTATCACGGGGCCTGACAGCAACTGTCAACTGGGGTTAAATCAGCCAGCCCAACCGGCTCGCCTCGCAGCTCCTCGGTGGGAGCGGAGCACCGCGGCTTTCCCGGAGTGTCCCGGTGCAATTGTGTCGCACGCTGATTGCGCCCGCCCCCGCAAGTCAAGCCAGGTCTTAATTGCGCCCATTTGTAAGTGGAGGGGGTTTTGTGTTGGTTTTGTCATGCTAAGCAAGCGTGGCTCAGCCATTCTAACCTCGCCTTTCAAAGCTTTTCTCCTCTGCTCTTTTGTTTACTTCGCCTGATCTCTCATTTATTTATCTATCTATTATTTATATGCTTAGCCCCCCTCGTTCAGGTCCCGTGTATGTTAATTGTGTTATGCCATTTCATTCTAAGCGCGGTCTCCAAAGAGCACTTAATGAGAAAAACATCTACAACGTGGATCGCGTTCGCTATTCAGCTCAGCCAGATGGACAACTGCTACTCTCTCGGTCTCCCCCCACCCCTTCTTCCTCCCCTTCTTCCCCTTTTAATGAAAAATCCTTTCCTTAACAAAAGGAGAGACCTGATGAATAGGAGCGCCAAACACTGCTAATTGTTCGGGACAAGATGCTAATCTGCCCTCCTCCAGCTTCCTTCCGAGGCTGTCGGGGAGATTAGATGTATATATTCCTTCTTTTCCCAGCGCTGCCCTACCGGCTGGGATATTGAGAAAAGGTAAATGGAAATATTGAATTTGGGACGGGGTGATGCTTAGGAAATGCGGGGTCTTTGTACAGCCTGTGAGGTGTGTATGTGTGTGGCGTGGGGGGCGCTTAGGAAGAAAATTTTGGCGTAGGAAAGCCCCACTCGCTAAGGGCCTGAGTGCACTGAGGAGCGAAAGAAAGTAGAAGAACCGGGAGCTGGCGGTCCTAAGCAGGGTAACTTTGAACTCAGCGGGACGTACTCCTGAGTGGGGCTGGCTAGGGCAGGGCTGCGTGCCCTATGCCCTGGAAGTTAAATGGACTAATCCCCAGAGGAGAGAGAAGTACCTGTCCTCAGTCATAGGGAAGGAATTCTGCACATCCTCAGAAGTACTCTGATCTTCCCACATTCTAGGACTCAGAGCCTTAGCTAAAACTCGTCTTTCCTGGCAAGGGCAGTACTTGTTCTGGCCAGCTTTCTGTTGTTCACTGTGCCTCCTCACGTGGGAAAGGCCAAGTTTTCTTGGAACCCAGCACAGTTCACCCCCTAGACACACCTGTGCTTACCCGCTTAGGGTCATGCTTGGATAAAAGTATGATTTAGTTCCAACTGGCCTGGAAATCGTTTAAGGACCTGATCGGTTTTTGAAAACAACTCCTCCCCAGAAGGAAAATCTGGATCAACCCTTCCAATTAGAACGTAATAGTTGCTGTTCTTCCCACCCTAACCCTTTAAAGCTACAGTCCTGTTCAGTGCATACACTCACACTCTACCAACTTACCTGGGGAAGTAAGCCCAACGGAACTCAGTGTAACTAAATTTGAGTAAAGATGCATAGGATTGCACTATAAGCACCTTGGCTTCCTAAAACAAGGTCAGACCTATTCATCCCCACGTCGTTTACAACTGCAATCCTAAACACTCTTACCTGGGAGTAAAACTGATTGAACTGAATGGGCCTTAACTCTGAGAAGACATGTACAGAATTTCTGCATAAAGCTGGCTTAGCTTCTTGCAAGCCAGTTAAACTGGAGGATGGACAATTAGAGTATCTTCAACACTGACCAATATTCACTGCCATCCTAACTACGCTTGAAGGCAGTGGCGTGTCCTTCAGAGCAAATACACAGAATTACTCAAAACGACCATCGCACAAGCCTGTGCACGCTTGCTCAGCAGTCCTCCTACAACACAAGTCTATGCGCGTTTACTTAGAAGTAAGCCCCACTGCCTTCAGGTAAGTGTGCAAGACTTCTGCCCCATGTGGCCACGCGGGTAACAAAGTACATGCTAGGTTTTACTAGGTTCACATCAGTCTGAGAACCCAATCCCACACATGTCTACTCAGCAGTAACACCCAATGAATTCAATGGGGCTTACTCTCGTGTAAATGGATATAGAATTGCAACCTAGGTAACTCAGAGGCAGCCACTCGCTAACTCAAGCCATCTATAAGACAGAAAGATTTTGCTGAGAGGAAGAATTAGATAAGGCAATATTAAAAACCCTGGGCCTTAGAAATGCACGAAGTCATAAACAAGAAGAACTAAATGCCAGGGCCTGAGTTTTTAAAACTATGGGGTAGATGAGAATGTTCTCCCATTGAATGAATGAAGCAATTTCACCTATAAACCCCATCCATTCCAATGGAAATTTGTGCAGGAGAACATTCCAGCAGATCATGCTCCAGATCTTCCAATGAATGGGGGCGAGGGGAGGACCTGTATTCTTGCAACTTTGCAGACACTTGGGGGGAACCAGGCATTTGCAGGCCCTGCTAGCAGGCAGCCAAAGGACCGTCAATGCAGCTTCCTTGCACGCCTGGAGCTTCTAGACGGAAGCTCGTAAGAACTGAAATTGGATTCACACCACATAGCTGGACATGTTCGATGACAGATTGTCTTTATTCAAAATGTCTTTGTTCAACAAATGAACAGAATTAACGAGGTAAAATCCTTCTGGATACAATTTCCCCCAATACATTGTTAAAACATATTTAAATTACCACCGTGTTATTCGTTTTAGTTATTCTTTTTTAATTTTTAAAAAACAATTCTACTGCCTGACTTCATATCTGACATTCTGTCTAAAGTAAACTTAGGTCTACTTGCACTGATTCACACAAATTGAAGGACTATCTGTTTTAAATTAAGCAAACACTATCATACCATGTTTGAAATATAAACGTTTTTCCTCCTTTTTTAATAACTCTGAAGAGCTTTATTGTCCCCCTTCCTCTTTTAATCTTTTTGACATGAAAAGCATTTTAACCTATTAGTGCTGGATGGTAAAATATAGATATATAGATATATATAACACAGCTAAATCTTGTTTTTTTAATGTGCAAAAAAAGGAAATCATTAAGTCAGAATACTTCCAGGATTTTAGGAATTCAAGTCCGATTAACATCCGATCATATATAAACTCATAGACATTAAGGTAATAACTTAAAGAAATCAAAGGATGTTTAGCCTTTTCGCCAAGAAAAGTTTGACACATTTACAATTCTTACAAGTTTTGGGTGCCTTTTAGCCCCAAGTGCAGAAAGAAAGAAAGAAAGAAAGAAAGAAAGAAAGAAAGAAAGAAAGACCTTTTTGTGTAGGGGTTTTTGTTTTTGGATTGGACTACAAAGTCTTGGAGCTCCCCACCCCCCTCCCTCAAAAAGAAACAGAAGAAAGAAAAAAAAGAAAAAGTCTGCAAAGTCTTCCCCGGGTGACGTGAGGTCCCCAGGGCATCTCTCCCGAGCTTTCGCTTAGGCTTTTACAAATCTTTGTTTCTGGAGTCTTGTATGTTACATGCACCGCGTACGGCTTCCGCTTCCATCCACCGAGCCAGAGACCTGGCCGAGTGCGGGTTCCGTCCTGCCGCCTGCGAGAACCGCGTGTGGTGTTGGGGCTGTCAATGGGAGTTAGTCTGCCTGCGTGTTACATGGCTGTGGCGTGCGCTGAAGAATAGGGGTCTATTCCAGTTTTGGTCATGCCTGGGAATAATATGTAGGCGACTGGAGGCTGCAAACTGGAGGCAGACCAAGCCGTACAGTTACAGGGCACCACGTAGCCCGGGTTGGTCGGCGACGGGTGAGTGTGAGTGTGCTGGCTGGGGCAACTCAAGGTGCCAAAGGCCCCGTTCTGGTATCCCAAGGTGGAGGCGTAGGGCAGGGTGCTGGTGGCTAAGGTGTGGGGCACCTCCGTCATCTTCTGGATGGCGCTGGAGCTGAACTGGCTGGGGTCAAGTAACGAGTAAGGTGCGGAGGTGGGGGGCAGGAAGGCCCGCGCCTTCTCCGGGGAGCTGAGCAGAGAGTCCGTGGCTGCCACGGGGAGCCCTGCCGCCTTTAGGGGGTCAGTGTCTCCGAGGTAAGGCAAGGGGAAGACATACCTGTCCTTCTTGAGCAGGTTCTTGGGCTTTCGGCGGGGCCGGTACTTGTAGTCGGGGTGCTCCTTCATGTGCTGCGCGCGCAGGCGCTTGGCTTCGTCGATGTAAGGGCGCTTCTCGGCCTCCGACAGCAGCTTCCACTCGGCCCCGAGGCGCTTGCTTATCTCCGAGTTGTGCATTTTAGGGTTCTCCTGGGCCATCTTCCGACGCTGGCCCCGGGACCACACCATGAAGGCGTTCATGGGTCGCTTGATGTGGTCGGAGGGCTTGGACATGGTGGCGCTGGTGGAGGTCGAGTGCCGGGCGGACGCCTCGTGGAGCAGCCCCGCCACCGCCGCCGCCCGCAGCAGCCCCGCTCACCTGGCTCCGCTTCTCCTCCTCCTCCTCCTCCTCCCGCCGCCGCTGCCGCTGCCTTCCAGCCAAGGCGAGGCGCCCCTCCGGCTCTCAGCTGATCATACCAGTTCTCCGAGCGCTCCACTCCGCGGCGAGGCGCCTTGATGGACGGCGGGCGGACGGGCGGGGCGCGCCGGGAGCGGGCGGGGAGGGCGAGGCGCCCGGGCAGCGAGGAGGCCACCTGCCGTCCGGCGCGCCTGTCCAGGGGGAGCTCTCCTGAGGGTCGCCGCGTCCTTCGGGGAGCCGGTGCGCGGCGCGGCTCGGCCGGCCAGGGAGTGCGGCGACGGCGCGGACTCGGAGCCAAAAGCGGGGAGGTTCAAAGGCGAGGCGGTCCGGGACGGCGCGCGAGCTGACGGAGCGGCGGCAGGGCGTTCACTCCCGAACCGCGGCGCCCAATCAGCGGCCAGAGCGGAGGCAGCCGGGGAACGGGCGCCTCCGCGACGGGGAGAGCGGAGCGGAGCAGAGGAGGGGGCGGCGAGGCGGGCGCGGGGGAAGCAGAAATCACTAAAGACACAGGATTAAAGGGGACGCTTTTGTTAGACGGCGCGCTAATAGCGGCAGCCAATAAAACTCCGCACGCCCCCTCGTTTTGGGGCGGAGTGGAGGGGGGGGCGGCGGGGGGAAGGCACGGGCTGGATTGTAATCCTCTCGCAGCGCGGGGTGGGGGAAGCGGGCGCGAGTTTATCAATGGGGCAGCGACCTGGGCCAAGGGCAAGCGAGCCGTCTGTCTCCCGTCTCGGACTGCCGCGCGAGTGCGGGTGGGGGCAGGACGCGCGCGACAGGTCGTGAGAGTGCGGTCGCTTCCGCGAGCACGCGTGAGGAGACGTGCGTGGAGGCAACCACGCGTCCCCAGCCTCCCTCCCTCTGTTCCACGCACGCACACGCACCCGGCAGGGTCGGAGGCCGGGCCGAGCCCGGGCACGCAGGAGCCGACCTGGGGAGACGGGCCGAGCTGGGTGGGGACGAGGCTTGATAGCTATTCACCCAGAAGACCAAGGGCGGGCAGTGGCGAGGGGGGGGGGGCGTTGAGACCAACGCTTCCAGGGCTATTTTTTGGAAGGTCCAGGGCTGAGTGAAGCCGGAGGGAGGAAGACGCAAAGAGCACCCAGGAGAGAAACGCGGTTCCTGACTCGAGCGAACCAGATCAACGCGGGTGGATAACATCTGCAGGGCACGGTCCCGACGGGGCGAAGCCCTTCGTCCCACACTTTCCCGATGTCATTTTGTGATGCGCGCCTGTTCTTTCCCGTTACTCCCAGTCTGGCCCTGCCCCCTCCACTTCTTTCTCTTCCTGTCCTGGGGGGTTTGTTGTTGTTTTCTAACTATTAAAGATTGGCTTCTGAAGAGGACCAAATACCCACAGGAGCCCTCCCTCCTCCACTGCACGCCTGCTTTCTTTGAATAATTGCTGCCTGACGCAAAATGCCCTTGAGGGAAATATTTATTAAATGGAAACCATTTGCCTCGAATCCCTAAAGGGACCGGGTTTTTTAAGGGCGTCGTGGCTTTGTGCACCTGCCTGGTTGAAAACTGGTCCAACATCAGCTTGCTCTCCTCGCCCCCCCCGCGCCCCCCCCGGCTCTGGCAACCCAGCTACAACAACGTCCTCGCCGTCCCCACCACGCGCTTCACTTTTTAACCGTCTCTTTCCGAAAAACGCGTCACGACCCAAGAACCACCTGGCTGGCTTCGGTGGTTTTGCAGCTCTGCGTCTTGGATACCTTTTGGATCTTACAAAAATACTTTTAAAAAGATTTGGGGCTCATCTCGATCCTCTTCCAGGAGCAGCCGCTTGCATTTACCCCATACATTTAAAGGCACGCCAGGTATTTTTGGACCGTGATTAAAGCTGTTAAGATGCAAATGTAGCAGCTTGCCTTCGAATTTTTTATTCCAATCAAGTACGGGAGAGAAAAAAAATAAATAAAACCAAGCAAACCCTATATTTCACTATGCCCCGTGGCGATACACGCTCATACATACAGATGTAATAAAGCTTTATGATTTGCAGCAGCTTGTAAGGGACGTGTGGGGGGCTCACTCATTTTCTTTCCTCTCACTTGTTATTGGAAGTCAGACAAAATTCAGTTTGCCACCCAATTCTCTTCTTCTCACCTGCACTGATTCCTCGACAAATTGATTTCCTCGAACTTCAGCAATGTGGAAGGAGGATTTCAAGTCTTGTCTCCTCTTCGGGCATCCCAGCCACTCCACCCGGCCCTCCCTCGTTCATTTCGATGGGGCTCCGGAGTCCTTGCCCGGACTCTTCCCTCTCACCGACTTCCTCTCTCCAGCTTTCTAATTATTGCAGTCTGAGAGCCTAAATCGCAGAAAGGCTTTTGTTTGTTTGTTTTAGGCTAGGAAGTAGAAGCAGCAAAAGGCTGAGAGCTCTTGGCAACGGAGCAGGTAATAGATCGGAAATATTCTCAAAGCACCAATCATTTTTCAGCCCGATACATTTTTCCTCCTCCGCCCGGGGCCCTCCACATTTATTCCCCACGGTATATTTAGAGGTTATATACACACTGCATGAGTAGCTGGGTTCATGCATATGTAAGGAATTTACATTTTGCCATGTGCGTATTGGTATGTCTGCCTGGAAAAGAATCGCCCCCGTTCTGTTTCCCCAGCACGCGCGCGCGCGCACCTTTATCCAAACGGAATCGTCTGATAAATATGATACGAAAGAAAGGAGTTTTTAATGATTATCCATCTTTTTATTAAGGACAAAGGGTTGCAGTTGACTCCTGAACAGGACATACCCAAATTCATGTGCAGGAATGCCTTAACCCCCCCGCCCCCCAGAAGTCTGATCTCCAGATCAGGCAAAAGCACCAACAGCAATGTCAGACCGTGTGATGCGCCGGGGGTGGGGGCAGAGACTCTGTTTTGTTCGCCGCCGTGATTTTTAAAATAGCCAAACTGTAAATATGGCAACTTGGATGGGAATTCTTCATTCTAAATTGGGAAGGGGAGGGAAAAAAGAGCATCGCTTCTGCTGCCTGTGGCGACCTACGCCCCTTCACAACATTTCCAGACAGCATCAGGCACTTCCCCACTCGCCCGCCCTCCCCCGCCGCATCCTGCGCAAGGAGATGCGCCGAGAACCGGGCTGCCGCAGGCGCGGTTCCCCCACGCGCGCCCAGCGGCCAGCGAGGCGCCTCGGGTGCCGAGGCCGCGCGGCGCTCCCGCGGAAGCTCGCAGGCCGCCCCCGGCCCGCGTGCCCTTGACCCGCCGGGGAGCTGGGATCCTCAGACGGGCCCTGTGCCTTGCCAAAGGCAGGCGTTGGGAAGGGGACGCAGCATGAGGAGCGGGTCGTTGCGGTTGCCCTCATCACGGACTCAAACTTCCAGGGTCCCCGTCCCGATAAGCAGAGGTATGTCTTGGGGACACGCTTCTTTCAGAAGGCGAAGCCAGAGGCGGCCCCCGGACGCCAGGGCTGGCTGGCACCGGGCAAGGCGCTACCTGCCCTCACTCCCCGGAGCAGAGGACGGGGACTCTTCCCTTCTCTCAGGAGAGACGCGTGTGTGTTTCGGTGATCGGCCGGGAGAAGGAGCCGCCGTCCCTCAGCCCTCGCCTTCCCCCGCGGGGAACTGGAATGGGATTCAAAGCAGCCCCAGCCCCAGACGTAACCAGTAATTTGCCTTAGCGATTTGGGGGCGGGGAGCGAGCAAGCGAGCGCGCACCTGTTTCAAACCTCCCTGACGCGCACACGTGCGCGTAGCCTCTCAGCAGACTGCTGCGGAAAGCACTTCGCGCGGTTCGCCCGTATCCGCTGGGATGTGAAGAGGAAGGTTTGTTCCGCCGCTGTGCCACTAGGAGATCCCGACAAGGCGGGCGCACGGAGAGCCTTTGATCGCGCGGGGCATAATTGTCTCTGTCACGCTCTGCTGTAAATGTTGTTTTGTCTGCCCGCGTGCGAGCCCCCTCGAACATGCCTTTTTTTCCTCCCCCACTCCCACTCCCATCCCGCAAAGGCGACCTTTCCCTCTCTTTCTTTCTTTCTTTCTTTCTTTCTTTCTTTCTTTCTTTCTTTCTTTCCACTATGCGCCTCCTTGTATTTTACGACTCAGCTAATGGCTCAGCTGCTCTTGAAACGCATCTAGCGTCCTTAACCAACGGCTGATCTCGCCAACGGTTAAAATAATCCAGGGCTAGCCGACTCATGAAGGACTAGCCAGAGCAGCTCAGTCTTTGCCCACTCGCCCTCCAACGTCTTGCAAGCACGCTCAGCCAACCAGTTGCGGCTTGGGGCCACCGAGTCCAACTGGACGCGGATCGCTCACCATCCCCTGGGACCGTGGAGTTCCAAGTCTCAGACAAGAACCGGCCTCATGTCGAGGAAATCGGTCCCTTCCTCCCCGCTCCCCACGCCCATCTCCCTCTCGCTGTTTCACTCGCTTTCTCTCCCACTCTCTCTCAATCTTTCTCCTTTCTCCCCATCGGTAAAAGCGGGATGGATTCACAGGACCGGTAGGAGAAAGAACGCAATATACCCATTTGCAAAAGAAAGTGTTTTTGCGTGCATCCAAATATGGGCATGAGCAAAGGGGTCCCCTGTTACTGGCCGGATTATCTTTGCATGGGGCAGTCAATAAGTTTCTCCCCAGAGGTGCTGATTCACGCCCCTTCCCAAGCCTCTAGGGTGACTCCAGATCCTGAAGCTGAAAGGTGCGCAAAGGCGAAAACAAACCTAGGCAGCGGAAGCAGGATCCTTGATAACGCAGATAACGCTTGGGGTCACTCGCCCTTCCGGATGAAGCATATCGGTTTTCTGAAGACCCCCCCCTTTCCCATGAAATCATTTTCTATGTATATCCGCCCCCCAAAACCAAAAAGATTGCTATGGAGCGAGGGAGGGCATGTCCTAGGTTTTTTGCTTTTTAAATCGGTATCGTTTTCTTCTTGAAAAAGTGATATTTGGTCTCTGTTTAAAAATCATCTAGATAGCAGGGCGACCAATATTTGGGAATGAAGGCTACCCTTTGTAAGTGTGTTGTCGGCTGCCAAAGAGTCTTTCAAATCACCCCATAATCGTTTGGGCAGTTGACAGAGTGAGATGGCTCTGCCAATAACTCTCGTGCGGTTGGTCGTTTCCTTGCAAAGAAGTCTTTGAGGGACAGGAGAAAATGCCCGTGCCTTTGCATGCACCCATTCTCTTGCACTCTTTACCTTCCCCAGGTAATGGAGGCCAAAATGAGGAGAAAAACTCCAAGCAAGGAGATCACCTGTTGCCGCAGGAAAGCAATCTTGTGCGTGTCAGGAGCACAGTTCATATTTCTCTCTCTTTCTCCCCCCCCCCCCGCCCCCATCCTGCCTGCAACATGCTGCTGGGCCCATAAAAACTTTATTCCTCTCCCTTCTATTTAATCCTAAAATACAGGAAGGTGTAAAAGAGACTGGCAGGGATGGAAAGATTCTAACTGCCGGGTGTAATAATATCTCCCATGTAGAAAAAGATCAAGAATAGATGTTGCTCGATACTGCGGTACAGACTGAGTCGTTCATTTGTGTATCAGCAAAAAGTTCACTTTCAAGTTTCCCGCTGGGGCAGCCGAACATCACCCAGACTTAGAGTGAGTGTTTTCTGTTTGGGCACCGTCAGAGGAGGGATGCAATTGCTAGAGTCTTGGGGGGGGGGGGCAGGAGAAACAGCCCCACAACTTTGTTTTAATGCCTGGGAATGAATGGGTCCCCATCAAAAAGAAAAATGCTTGCTGTGCTTCCGGACCAAGGGAAAGGGGCTGTTCCAAGTGTGTAAAAGGGACATTTGTAATTTTGCAACTTCGTGTTCCAGTAGGAATTTTCTGTCCAATATGCCATATATGCCTCCATTTTCTTTACTGATGTCAAAAATGGATTCTTGAAGCTGCATTTCAAAGAAAGTACTTGTACAAGTAATATTATGCAATATTTATGCATTAAGTTTTCTGATATTCATATATTTTCATGCAATGTGTACAACTGATTTGTATAGGCTTGCTCTTCCTTCCGTCCTTCCTTCCTTCCTTTTGTTCTTTTCTTTCAGAACAACCAGAACAGTTTCAATTAATGGAACTTACTTTCATTAAAACAAAAACCAAATAAGATTAGGATGTGGTTATTTTGGGCTGTTGTTTTTAATGTAATATAAAATTATTATTGAAGCAAGGAGACTATCTTACCAATGTTCATTTGTTTGCTTGTTTTAATCAACTCCCTGATTTTTCTGCAAGAAAGGGAGAAGATGGCATCCTTACAAATAAAATGCTGAAAGGTGATACAGGAAATGAACCACTCTGCATTAAGCCTGGAACAAGAAAAGTGAAGTTTAGAGCCTTTGTAAAGGCAGACTAAACACTTCTCCCTTGTTATGAAGACCTAAATTACCTTAAAGTTGAAATCCTATGCAAGTTTACATCACAAAAAGGCCTATAGCTCCCAGAGATTGCACTTTAAATATATTAGCATGAAGAAAATCCAAGTAGTCCAAATAGGACATTGGAAGAATATTCCCAGGATAGGTTTAAATCACTATTCTCATATCCCATAGAAATGCCAGTGTTATTTTAGGAATCCCAAACTCATAAGCATTTGCTGGCATTTGAGTTCTTTCAGAAACCAATCCCATATGGAGCTACACATCCTGCTAGTGGCACTCAGATTTTAACAGTTCTTTCAAGACTGCCAATTTTTGTAGCTTCTTATTTATTCCTACATTCAGGGACCAATGCAAGTAAAATGTGCATTCATCTTTTGAAGGCCACACAGACAGTGTTAGAATAAAATCTGAGGCTACTACAGTCTTCCATTTGGCCCTCCAGTATCACAGAAAAGCCATTTCCTTGTCACTTACATGTTATGTATGGCTGCAATCTTATTCACAAGTACCTTGCAGTAAGTGGGGCTTGTTTCTGAATAAAAAGGCATAGGATTGCACCATACACACACTTACTTGGGCATTTACCACATTTAACAGACTGGGATTTAATTCTGAGGAAGTATGCATAAGACTGTGTTCTCAGTTTATCTCTGCTCTTCTCTCCAGCCCTTTCACAGGTGGATATTTTATTATAAATTATGCACAAGCCTGTATATGATGCCCTCATTAGATCATCATTGCAGAAAGCTTAGTGTGCTGGGCAACAGTGTATAAACGGGAAAGGGGGCGAACAGTGCATGTGCAATAGGGGTTATGCATGTTTACGCAGAAATATGTCCCCCTGATTGTAGTGGGACTTGCTTTCAGTGGCTATGCATAGGATTCACAGCCAGAAGTGATTCTTCACGAGGATTGTTAACTGGGT